CAACGATCAAACGTTCATAGTTTATTTTCATCGGTGGAGAAACGTGAATCATCACCTGAAACTGAAATAACTGAAAAGGGTAAATATGCTATTCAAGCATATTGGAATAATTAAGAATATTAAGCTGAAAAAAAAAAAGAAAAATTAGACAATTGTCTTTTTTCTCTGAATATTTTAGAATATTTTAAATATATAATATATAAGTCAACCTTATGGGATATAGCCATGTCAAATCTTTTCCATGCATTATTACAAACGCAATATCCAATCCAAAATCCACAAGTACAAGAGTGAACACGAATATTACGTAATTATTCCCCTATAAAACATAACATTGTTCTTGATCTTTTTTAATGACGTGTGATTTATAATATAAATATAAACAGCTATGTGATATAATGTATACCTGCTTATTTCTTCGTTCCGCCAAGAAGAATAAAAAGAGTAAAATCAGAGATACAATCACGGTTCCAAGAATTATCCACCGATATCTCACCCACAAACCCGCTTAATTTAAGTAAAAAAATTTATTAATATCATACAGTATAAATTTATCAGATAAATTCATCATTGATTTAATAAACTTACGAGCTCTGAAACATCCAAAAGAAGAGTCTAAATAAACAGTATTCGACCTTTTTGAAATCAGCGTGACAGCTTTATTTCGGATCAAAGTATCCATATCTTGTATTATTTTATCGGAATTGATCTCAGATGAACTTGTAGGTCTACCAATATATACGCGAAATAAGATTTGGCTTTCTGAAGCACTTCTATCATATTGATATTTTTTAGTTGTTGATATTCTTGCCGTATCACATGGAATTATGCTTGCTAATTGTCTAGAAAAGCCAGTAGAAAATTCGGACTGTTCCTGTGATGAAAGATTTTCATAAAACGTTGATCCTTCTGGAGTAAATCGAACGATGGCACTAGCGTAATCTAATAAAATTATAATAAAATAAGATTAATTAATGAGTAATAATCTTTTCGTTAATCGAAAACGGTGCATAAATTCAATGAGCATTTTACAGAATCACGTCCTCAATACCGGTAGAGGAGATTCCGCTTAACGCACATTGAACCTTATGTAACATCATGAGAGTCCATACACAAATTAACATTTTACCATCGTCCTTGTCATTTCCCAAGGAAAAATCTAGTGTTAATTAAAAATTTATGATTTAAAATTAAAAATTTATGAATTAAAAATTTATGATTCGTTAACAATCATTAATACTAATATTAATTATACCTGTGGTAAAATTCCATAATGTTGACTTTACTCCTAAAAGTTGTTGATCAACCTTAGCATCTTTAACGAAACCATTATCAACCGTAACATAATATATAGAATTCACTTTGTTAAATGTGCTAGATAGTACAGTAGCAACTACAGTTTTGTTTCTAAATAAATGAATATATTGAGATTGACTTCCAGAGAATGATTGACGAAGAATACTGCGAAATTCACTGAATTCCCATATGCTAATGTTCCCATCAGACATTTTAATGTCATTAAGAAATGTTATGGTAACTGTCGTGATATTTGTAGGTGATATTGTTGAATTTATTGATGGAAAAGTTTTTTGAATAAATACATTCCCGTAGAGAACAAGACCTAGGAATCATGGAAATTAATATCATATTTCAATATTTACATATATTGTTATAAACATGTAATAATATATACTGTTATATAACTGTTATATACTGATATAAATACGTACTTGTATTATATGTTGTGAAGGTCGAAGAAGAAACCATCGACCATCCAACAGAATCTCTAGCAATCGCCCATATCGTATTGTTAGGAAACACGCCAACAGAACGAGTATAAAAATAATTTTTCGGTAACCCCCACGAACCGTGAAAATTACCATCACTATATATTATACCAGTAACAGACTCATCTGTCATATTTATAGCCATTATACAATTTCCACCATAATGTAAGGGTAAAACATTCCATACATCCGATGTGATCGGATCAATAATAAATTCGTGAGTGGACATTATTGATCCAGAAGATAAAAAATTTACATCAACAAGAATTATGTTTGAAGCATGATTAATATATATCAAACAGTTGTATCCAAGAAAAACATAGGAAATGTGACAACCAACTATTTTTATGGTTGTTATAATATCAATTGATCGTGTATATATCTGAAATGGACCTTTTGTATCAGTTCCGTGAGCTGGGATGAAAGTGACATATATTGTCACTGGAAAGTTGAAGTTTGAATAGGTGGTGTCATTATATTTGGTGATGATTATCCCGTATCCTCCATCTTCAATGGGAAAAATTTTAGAGATGTCACGATTAAAACGAGCGATGTTATTCAATGTTCCATTCGAAATAACATTAATCGCACCCGTGGTTGCGTTGCTATGGATCCAACCCACGTTAAGAAAATAATAATTAATATAATCTTTAAGATCTCAGAATATTCAAGAATGAAAAAAGTATAAGCGATAAAACTTACGGTGAAGAATATCTTGTCCAAATAATCTTTTGAGCATTAGAGACATAGCATACCCGTAAGAAATTACCATCTATTATATTCCGAACAAATTCACTGTCCGTACACATATCCCCAAAATTCGTATTACTGGCATTGACCGAATAAACAAGGTTTAATTTTAAAAAAAAAAAAAATTATAAAATTTAAAAACATTAAACGAATAGCGTCAGACGAACCTAAGAACACGCGAATCCCAGGTCAACAAGAGACCACAAATATCAAAAGAGTCAGGCAACTTACAGAAATAAGTTACAAGTATATATTGATCTGTTATTGCATAAATTCTTATAGCATCCGAAGCTTTATCGGTAATATCATTATTAGTGATACCCAATGTCGAAGTAACAGAATTATTGATTATTGGTCTTTTAGTGAACATGTTTCCAGTTATCAAACAATAATTTAGATTAGGTATTGATACATTCAAATCAATAGAAGAAATTGTTCCATCCGGGTGGATCAATCTTAAATTTACTCCTTGAGAATTACAATCCATTAAATTATTACTCGATCTCGTGACACGTAATAATATAGTTCCATCGTCATAACTCGCCCTGTCGACCACTTTAGATTCAGGAAATAACTCTTTGAAAGTAAGAACGTTTATGTCATCAGTCAATACTTGTGCGGCTAAGTATAAAAATATACACATTATTATCATCAATATTTTTCGTAAGTGCAATTTTCGCATGATCGAATTTTTTTTTTAAAGAAAAGAAGTGCTTAAAGAAAGATCAAGCAAAGAAGAGAAAAGGGACAAAAGATCAAATAACTGCGATTTCCACCCGAATTTATTAGTTGTTATGAGTAGTGATACAATCAGGAAATTAAAAATCAAGTGCATGGATGCTTCAAAAACCAAGCGAACGACTGCAAGAGAATCTGAGACCAAAATGCAAATATTAACAATGTTTTTTCGTATGTAAAGGGTTTTGTTTACATGTTTGAGATAGCTGACCTGCATATGTATATACTGTACATATTTACATATTTACATAGTTAATTTACATACAGATTTAGAGAAACAATTGAGATTTCTAGGTATTTATGTACCACAACTCATGGTTATTCACATGAACCACACCTAAATGGCCTTTTAATCATTAAAAACTTGATTATGTCTGTTTATGGTCGTAACAATCGAATGAATCTCTAATTCTAGAATTTATTATTATTTATTATCGTGAAGCTGTTTACAATATATTGACATTATAAGTGTTATAAAAAAAAAAAAAATCTTCACATTGATAATGTATAGTTATTGGATACTTTGTATCCAATAGCTATATATTATCTGACTTTAATTTATTAATCTCCAAACCTTTTTATCATACAACTTTATAAATATTCAAGGCAAAATTCTCGACGTCTTACCGGAAAATCGGATCAACATTAACGTTAATGTTAATTGTTATTCCTATATGGAAAGTCCCATGTTTCAATTTCATCAATTATCAACCAATAATTTAATAGATTTCGTATAATCAACCACAGATAAAAGTTTTTTTTATGATTTTTTTTAAATTGGCGTTCTATATTGAATCATTATAAAAAATTGATCGTTTTTAATTCCTCTCATAACATTTAACATTTTAAATTCTATAAAAGCGAGGTGTTTAATAAAAAGTTCTTTATATAAGAATAATAACAATAATAATAATATAGAATTTTTACCTTCATGATTAAATATATTACTGCTTTTTAGAATGTCTACTAGGATTCCGAGTTATATATAGATAGGTCAGATCTGAGTTTGCTTATGTTTATTTTTATGCCAAATTTTCTCCAAAAATGCTTATTTTCGATCAAAATTCTAAAAATTTATAACGCCAATGAGTGTTATTATGAATTTTGGTCTTAATTTAGGCCAAAATTCTAAATTACACTCCTGCGTGTTATTATGGTGTTATTATGGTGTTATTATGGTGTTATTATGGTGTTATTATAGTGTTATTATAGTGTTATTATAGTGTTATTATGCGATGTTTATTGAATTTCTCTTAAAATTGTTCTTTTTAGCAAATAGCTCGGGACCCTTGTCTATTATATACATATTATGTAATTTATAAATATAATGCAGACCACATACTATACAGAAACCTGAATATCTTAATGCGCAGTTACTACATACGTACGTACGTAGTAACTATGTAGTAACTATATAATTACTATTAAATTTAATAGTAACCAATAATCACTATGCAGTTACCGTGCATTAGGCCATTTGAAGTTGATTCTTCGGTTAACGTAACCCCCCCCCCTCCTGGCCATCCCCCCCAAAAACGAACAAGCCAATCACAGCATTGTAAAATTTTTGTCCAATTTGTA